TAGAAAATCCAGGATTTTATCAGGCTGCCAGTATACTTACTTGACTCACAAATTTTCCCACAAGAACCAGGAATTAGAATTGCACAGCATCCTACTTTATATAGTTCATCAGCTGCAGGTGTCTCAGATCACAGAAATTTCAAGTTTGGTGCTCACCACACATGTTCCTTGACAGAACAGCAGCTGTGCTTGAAGCACTGGGGAGAATCCTGCACAGCCTGAAAACACAAGGATTGCTGGCCCCCAAACAGCAGTGCAGCCACTCACTATGTGTCTGTGTCTCTGAAAGCCTGCATTAAAAGGCGATTTTGGACTCACAGTTTCACGGCTGCTGTGCTATAGGACAAGGAATGTACTAAGTGCCAGCCTCTGCCATGTCCTACATCAGCTTGTCCACATCTGTAGGAAGTGCTGCCAAATGATGCTCTGCAAAGGATCCTATTCTATTTACTAATTATTTCTTTGAAGTTTTATGCATATGCCATTGCAGCTTGGTTCAAAACCCTTGTTTACTGGCTGCCCACTGTCACACATTTCAGGAGGTGGGATTTTGTTCCCCTTAATTTCAGTACCCATCCTGAAAGCTTATTACAAAAGATTGCTGACAACTTCGTCATCGTTCCTCCATTTTGATTTTTGCAGCACACACTACAAGAGTGTCTTGAAATTAAATTCCTTTTCTTTGTTAAAAAAAAAAGCCCCAGAAAAACTTGTGCAGTATGCAATTAAGGTATTAGTAAAAATCCTCTGAAGTCTGAAGGCTGAAGTCTTCCACAAAAATTTTACCAGAGCTGCTTTGAAATTGGAATCATAAACTGCTGTTTCACAGAAAGCAAACAATTTACCTAGAACAGGTAATTATGTGACATCTGGCTGAACAGCAGATCTATCTGGGTGAGACCTCAGATGGGTGCCTTCGCTAATTATTTCATGAAGGGGAAAAACACATTACTGAGTAACAGTTACCCTAGAATTAGCCATGTTGGCTTTTCAGATCCAGCCAAGGGCTCTGGGAAGTATCAGTGACAAGTCTTTCCTGCAAATGTAAGGGTCCACTGCAGGGATTAAAAGAACTGCTTTCAGTGCTTAAGACAGCATTTGCCCCAGCCATGGTGGTGGTACATGAAGAAGTATAACACACTAAGACAGCAGTTCAAGCCTCTGTTCTGTGTTTAAAGCATGCTGGTAGAAAAGCAGTTATGTGGAAAAGATGACTTAGCTGATCTGCAACACCATTTGGTGACTGTGACATTCCCTTTGTTCAGAGCAGGGATTCACAGCACAGCATTGCAGGCAGTGGAACTGCAAGACACAGCGCACCACCAGGGCTGACTTGTGCAGCGACAAGCCATCAGCCTCACAATTGTCACTTAAATACCACTGTTATTAAAAGCTTCTGAACTGTTTCACAGAGCAACTGAAGATGGATCGTTAGGATGCCCAGGCCAGGCAGCCTCAAGGTCATTTGCAATGTGGGAAAGCAGCAGTTGCGCAGCTCCCCCTGCACTCCAGCCGCAGCGGGAGCCGGATGGCGCAGCGCAGCCTGGGCAAGGGCCACTCACTCCTTCTGCCCTACCCAAGGCTAGCTGGCCACAGGCACTGCTCAGGCATCATTTTGAACAGATATTTCCATCTCTGTGAGGACAGGTCATACATCAGCAGATACCAGACCCACCCTCTCTACACCTCCCATGCCAGTCAGTTGCAATTCCTATTAGTGAGTGCCACAGCATCTCTAGAGCGTGGGGTACTTTGGTGTTGGATAAAGCAATTCCATGAGCACTCCCAGAATTGGCACTCTCCCCTTGCTCCTTGTGCATGCCGCTTCCACTGATAGAGCCAACATTTTGTCTTTATCCCTTTACTTACCCACGTGAGTGGTTCTGAAGAAAGAAAAACTGAACCCAGCTTCCTCATACAGCCTGTTCCCAAAAGTGAAGCCTTTTAGCCTCACCCCATCACTTCAGCTTAGGAGAAGGGAAAACCAAAGCAGGTTTAAGTTCCTCTCAGAGAAGAGACATTTTTCCTGTGATGGAACCTTTAATTCTAGAAGATTTTCTTCAAGCCCCAGTACTATTAACACAGAAGGCTGAGATCATACCCACCCCCTACAAATATGTGTTGCTGCAACAACATGCTTATTTCATCCTCCTTCTTGAGGTGAGTAACCAACCCCGCCTTCCCAGAACAGCTTGCACAAAGTCAAACACGGGCCTCCTATTTAGTTACCTGGAGGTGCCACTCGATCCTGGTATTTGGGCTCGAATTCGCTGACAGTGAGCAACATCACTTGGATGGTCCCAATGAATATACCTGCCAGGCAACCGTAGAAGATGACATAGAAGAGGAGGATCTTAACTGCAAGAGAAAACAAAGAAAGAGTAATCAAATCAAGTCCTCATGAAAGTCGTGTTTCAGGACAGTACTTCCAACCTTTGCCACTTGCAAGGAGGTGCCCAGCACACAGAATTCTGATGTTGCAAAGACATCTATTTAACAGTGAGATTATACCCTGATGCAGACAGGAAATATAAGGCACTCCAGTTGTTTGGTGGTGGGGAAACATGAGCCCCTGAAAACTTAGAAATCTGTAAATCAGGGTTTGGGCTTATAAAATATAAAAATAAACCACATTCCCCCACACCTCAAGGATCCCTTGGCTGACCCAGCACCACCACCACAGGCCCTTGCACTTGACATAGTCAGTGATCCAAGTGCTTGCCCCACAGCAAGCATGGGTGTGCTTGAAGGATACTCATTCCACACAGTTCTGGGGCTCAAAGCTATTTCCAGGAGCAGTACCATTAAGTGTTTCATTCACAGTTACAAGCCATTGTGAAGCCTGATCTCTTCTAGTAATTCAGGCCATGACTTCAAAAAAAAAAGACAAGGGTAAAGAGTACAGGCCCAATTAACTTCAATAGTCCATCTCAAATGTAGGAAAGCACTCGGGCACTGCTCATACCAATTAGAGAATGAATTACATAACAATCAAAGACTGAATGTAGTTTCAGTCCAAAAGAAATGTCTAGAATCATCTTGAAGGGGAACTGGGAAGAACTGAGAAGAGTCTGGAGATGCAGCCCAGCTCTGGGTATCAGTTACCAGTTTACAAGGATTATCTGAACAGATTAACTGCAGGGTAATATGGTGTTCTATGAACCACCATCTACAAGGCCAGCCCATACCAAGCAGCTGCATTGCTCATCAGGCTGCAGGGACAGACAGAGGCCAAAGACAACTTCAGAGCGAGCCTGCTTGATCTCAGACTGTCCTCACCTAATCACAAACAAAACAGCTGTAGTTTATTCGAAAGACTTGAAGTGATGAGCTACCAGAGAAGGGGAATAAGTAGTGGGTGGAAATATTCCTCCTCACTGCCCAGCTCCATTAAAAAAACACCCTACATCATTAGAGAAGTCTCACAATGAAAGCTGGCAGTTGTGATTGTTCTAAGTCTCTGAAAGACAGGCAAACAGGAGGGCCACCCAGAGAAACAAAGGCTGAGGGACATTGTCGGAAAGGCACTCCATGCTCTTGTCTTCCTCGCACGCACGCGGTGCTCCAGGAGTTAAAGCACTCTTTGGTATCCAGGCAGCATAAAGCAAATGGCCATGACGTCATGGACGTGTGGAAATTTTTTCCAGAGCACGGTCACAGGAGGTGCTGTTGTAACAAACCAAACACTAATGCTGTTGTCTGCAGCATAATGCCTTTGAGTTTTGTAACATCAAAAGGCAAACACTGGGAGGTAGCTTATTTAATCAGGTTGCCAGACAGGATGCTCTAAACGCCAAAGACACCTTAAAGGTCAAAACCACTCCAAGATATCAGAAAATACGCAGTGGATCTAGAAATTGTGCATCACAGGGTTGAAGGAAAAAGCTTCTTGCAACAGGTAGGCTTATAACAGAAGAATCTGATCTGTAGATCGACTCAGCAAATAGAAATCAGTCCTAGGCAGATAGGTACAGACAGTGGGAGAAGGACCTGGTTGAACCTCCACGTTTGAAGCACTGCGCAGTTGCCTGGTGCCTCAGGAGCACAAAATACCTCTCCATGCGCACTCACAACCCCATTCTGCTCACGTAAAGATACGGCAGAAGCCTGCTCTAGTCCGTCTGCCAGAGGTGCCTGCTCTGGACGTGGCACCTCCGGGCCGATCCATTACAATAGGAGCTGAATTCAATATCGCAAGGGTGGCAACATCAGCTGTGGTTGGCAGCAACTGGAAGACTGTTATTTGCGTAAAGAAATTAAAAACCTCTTTAAGCTAAATGCAATGAATACAGCACAAGCATTTATGAGGAATGCACATAGAGCCATTTCCTTCTTGCGGAGATATTAAGTCAATTGCTCTTTCTCAGCGGAGTAAAACTCGCTTAGTTTCACATATCCAGAGAAAACAGAAAAAAAAAAAAAAAAAGCCTCTGTAAGGTCTATAGCAGATGAGAGCTGGGAGGTCAAGGTCCCCCGACGGCGATGCTCCCGGGCCGGGCCAGCCACCGGGAAAGGAAGGAGACCCAAGGACGAGGCGCCCTCGACAAGGTCGGCCCGACCCCGCCTCACCCCCGGACCCACCTGGAGCCGCACTCGGGGGGCAGCGTTCGCCAGCCACCGCGGGGTCCCAGGGGACACCGAGGGAAGCGAACAGGGGGACCCCGTCCGTCGCCAGCCCCCCCCCGCCCCGGCCGCAGCCCCGCCGCAGCCGGCGGAGGCGGAGCGCCGGGGCCGTGCTGCAGAGCCCGCCGCATCGCCGCCCCCCGGCCCCGCACTCACACCAACTGCCCCCGGTGCGGCCCAGCAGCTCCTTCTTCTCCGAGTTCCAAATGAATTTCTTCCAGTTGCCATCACCGTCCTTGGCCTTCCCGCGGGCCATGGCAAGCAGCGGGGTGGGCGAGCGCCGTGCAGAGATCTAAAGCCCTCAGCGGCTGGAGCGGACCCGGAAGGTGCGGGTGGGCGCGCCCGCCCCGGCGGCGCCGGCCCGACGGGGCAGAGCGGGGGAGGCGACCGGGGGCGGGGATGGGGGACCGCGGGAGCGGCGAGGGGAGCACCACGGAGCGCACGGGGCACAGAGCAGCCGCGCTCCCCGCGCAGCGCCCCTTCATATACACCGCGGACTCCGCCCTGCCCGCGCCGCCGCCAATGCGGATCGGCCGAGCGCTCTGCGGGCGGGGCCCGGGGCGGGAGGGGCGCAGTGGGGGCGCGCCGGCGGCGGGAGCGTCAAGGAGGGAGGGGGCGGGGGGCTGCGGCACCTACACCAGGGGGAAGGGTGGGCGCGGGCCGCCCGCGGCTCGCCGGAGCTCCGACCCGCTGGGCCGGGCAGGTGCGTGCGCGCTACCGCGGGCGCCTGTGTGTCCGCACCCACGCACCTGAGCGCGCTGGTCCGCACACGCGCCCGCCCGTTCCCGGTATTCCCGACCCGCCCGCGCCCTGCGGTCCCGGCTCCCCGCAGTAGAGCCAGTCGGCCGGGCGCTGCTGAGCACCGTCCGTCTCCCAGCAGGAGCTCCCGGCGCCCCGTACGGCCGCCCGCCCCGCTCCGCCGGACTCGCCACACTCCGGCGGGCTCACCGGAGTGTAACGCGACTGCGGAATCATGAGCGCCGACAGCACTCCCGCCCCGGCCCCGAGCTCCGTCGCCCGCACCCTGGGAGCACCAGCCGGGAGGGGCGGGCAGGAGCTCCCCAGCGGCAGCAGGACTTGCCCGTCCCCTGTGGCGGGAGGGACACGACTCACACACGCGACAGCCGCCGCCCTTGCGGGGTGACCTTCAGGGCACTGCACAAACGCCACAGCCGCCTCGGGGTCGGGGAATACCCAGCCGTCGGCAGCGCACCCCGGGCCCAGCAGGGTGGGGTTGGGGGGTTCTCTGCGGGGACACCTCTGTCATCACAGGTAACCCATGTGCCTTGGTCCCCTGGTACCATTACAGGACAGTTAAATTAAATTTGTGCATGCAAGCCTACTTGAGTTTACTTCTGAACTTCCTGTCGGGTTGTAATATTGTATTCCACATATTATCTTGCCCCTAAGCTACTGATACATTCTCTGAACTTTAGCTCCATTTTTTCATCTTTTTTTTTTTTTTTTCTTCTTCTAAAGGTCTGGAGCTGCAATGAATGCACATAAGATGAGCCCTTCCATAATACTACCTAATACTACCTAGCAGGTGCACATTCTGGCAGTTCCCTGCAAGAATGACCTAGCCTGGAATCAAGGATCACCCAAACTCAACATGCTCTTCTCAGGTCTCAAGAAGAAGTGGTCTGGCCACCACTATCACATACCCTTCCTAAGCTGTTAAAGGGAACAAGTGATAATGAGTCACCCTTCTCCATGGCTACAATCCTGAACCAGCCCCTGAAGCAACTAAGGGACCTGCTTTTTTAGGCTTTCAATCTTACTTTGCTGGGGCCACTCAAGGTCTAGGTCCAGACAGGCCCGATACCCTCAGGGTTACAACTACACTCATGGCAGTGACTGAGGATGGCTTCCTTAGCTTTAGACATGCAACCAGACTTCTCAAAGCCATGAAGGCTTATGGGTTAGAGACACACGGAGGTTGGGTGCCTAGATGGCCGCATGTGTTTAATTGGAAGTGGCTGGTCTGATGAATGCATCATGATACATTATACATGATCAAAGGGAGCCAGGTGTGCCACACAGATTTTCATCCTGGGTTAGGAGAATCAGCTCTCAGTGGTGTTTATGTGATGGGAAAAAGCTGGAAAGCCATGGGAAAGAGGGTAATTGACATCTCTCTTTTCTTCTTGGTGTCTGGTCAGAGCCAGTCTTTTAAAGAATCCTGGTGATGGTGGTTGATAACAAAAGCAAATACAGACAGCACTACCCGATACCCAAGCGAACATCATCTACGCTACAGGGAGGGTACTATCAGTTACAACCTAAGGCAGCTGTGATTACAATCAAACCAATAACTACACAAGCACTGCTGAAGGAAAAAACATCCATTCTTGACTCCTCAGACCACAGTGCAGTTGCTGCTCTTGCCAGCTAGTCTGTTCCTCTCAGCTGCTGGGCTGAGAGCTTGCAGCTGCAAGTCTGCAGTGGCAACAGAAGAGCTGAACCAACTATCCTTCTAACACCCAGGGTGCAATTTTATAGCTCAGGTGTGCTACCCTACAAAGGACAGCAGTTAGGGAATTATGTATGGGTGCATGGTGGTGTCACCCAGGCATGATATCTGCTCACCAGACAGCCCTGCAATGTTATGTCTCATGTTTTCTACAGGACAGGACCCAGTTCATCTGCCCTGTGGGAGAAACAGCACATGAGTTAGCTCAGGGCACATGCAACAGCAGCAGTCTGTGCAGCCTCTCCTTCCTGCCTACTGCTTGAGCAATAGGGTCATCCAAAATAAAACAGGCATGGGACATTCAGGGAGGTTCAAGGTGATACTGAAATCAGAGATTTTAATAGGAATACACTCTACCAGAGCATTATTTCCTATGACCACAGAAAGTGACTTTGAAGAAATCAACTAGAGAAGATCTAAAGAACTGTATCACAATTACATAGTAAATGGCCACCTAGAAACACGATCTTCCTCTGAGCACAGCACACCATCACTACAAGCTCCAGTGCTGCTGGTGGAAGCCGAGCTGCAGGAGCTTCTGACTTCATCAGTGTTTGTTCAAGGATCACTGGGAAACTTTCTCATCTTCCTGCAAGCATTTGCATTTCTGTATAAATACACAGACAAGTCCTGTTGGGTTGGTGGTGGCCAGAAGTATCAAATCCCTGTGACTGCACAGGCTGGGGCATGCAGGATGTGGAATGGGCAAAATGCCCTTTGTGAGGGTCTCAAACCATTCCTGCCAACCTTTTACAAAACTGCAGACTTTGTCCTGTGCATGCTCAGGACATGCACTTTACCTTGATGTCTGTGAATTATCCTCTCAGAATCAGCAGAACTAATAGGCAATGAGGTGCCAAATTTTATTCAAATTTACTGTTTGTTTGGCTGTTCAGATATCAATCAGGCAGTCTCTAAGGCCACAACTGTATGATCTGATTTTTTAAGGCGATAAGGGCCTGAGGCAATGGTGGAAACTGCCAAGAACAAAATGTGCAAAGTAATGCATGTCCAGGAGATTAGCTGCAGTACGAAGGATGGGGTTAGGGAAAGCTGTGCACTGACACTTAGGAAGGAACAGCCTACAGGATGAAAGTTGCTAAGCGTTTATCTCACTGCCTTGAGCATAGCCATCAAAGAGATTTCCTGCTTCCTTTCTACCTCCTGCTTCGTGGGACTGGAAGAAAGCACCCAGAGCAAAGAAAGGTGCTCACTATGGGGCAGGAGGGTGGACAACTATTTCTAATGTAGCAGCAAAAGAGAAATGGCCCATGCAGAGCAAAGCAAAGTAAGGATTTGTCTGGCTTGATTTCTGCCCCTAAGTGCCATTTTTGTGGGGGAAAGGAGACTGTGCTGCTAATGGTCACACACAGAAAGTTTGGGCAATGTGTGATCTAGAAACATCTCTGAAGATGGCTGTGGGTGATGCTGTGATGAGCATGCCAGGGCAGGGAACAACTCAGGGTGTTGTAACTTGCACAGGACCCAAGTGCAAGTTACAAGGCGACACAAGTGTGCAAAATGGCCTCAAGTCAGTACTGTTCCATGGGCTGTCACTGCAAACAAATGGGAATGGGTATGCCCAGGAGCTGGAAAAGTTCAGCTGCTCAACTGCTTGGCACCAAGCCTGCATCACACTCAACAGGTGAGAGAGGACAAGGAACTGAATGGCAGCCCTCAGACTGCTATCAAGATGCCAGGTGGCAAACAACCATTTTATAGTTGTCTGGTGGCCTTGAGCGGGAGAGTAGTGACCCTCAAGAACTGCCCTCAGGGTCCCAGCAAAGTACATGCCAGTGTTTGGTCCCCATGCCAGCTTCTTTGTCCTGCAGGACACTGCCTTGGGATTGTTCTCCAATTTTCTGCCTGGGATGTTCAGAAGAAAAAAACCCATTTAGGGGCTGCTACACATAACACTGGCTCAAGCAGGGTATGTTGTCTCCCAGGACAAAACTGTCTTTCAAGTCTTCCTCCTTCCACTCCTTTTTCCTCTTACAGGTGTGGGGTCACTAGCGATTAGATTTACAGACATGCAGTTGGTTCTCTGAGCGCAATGACTGCACAATTTAAACAGATTAACTGCACATAGTTGTGCAAGGTGAGGTAACTAAGGTCAAGGATTCATGAACTGGTAGGCCCTGAGAAAGTAAATATGTGTAGAAATAACCTCCCCCCAAATTCAGAAATGGGGACACTATTCTTTTCCTTAATGTCAATTTCAGTTATGGTGGAGTGCCTCCACAGCTCACCCTTGGCAAAATGAGGTGTAAGACAACAGCCAATAAAACAAGTGACACTAAGGAGCATGTATGGATGGAAAACCCAAAAGTGTCTGAGGCATCTGCCTCAAACTTGTTTTGCTGAAGAAGAAAACAAGAAGCAGACATCAGCTGATCATGCTAAAGAGGATGTCATCTGTCAGCTGGATTAAATGGTAACCAGGGAATGACAAAGACAATTTGGAAACAAAGAATGAGTTGGTTGGAAAGACTGTATGAAAGAAAAATAAAAACCAATAACAGAGCAGGGAGAGGCCTCAGACTGTCAGAATCTAGTTTGGCACATCACAGCCTCTGTGAAGCTCAGATGCATCCATGTGACACCATCAGCAGCAGGCACCTAGTACCTGGCCTTGACCCCATGGGGTGCAGCAGGTGGGACTCACATGGAACAGGGTGACCCTACTGGTGTCCCTTCCTGCCAGCAGATGCATTAGCTGATTGTTGGGAGTGGTGTGGGCACCCCCACCGCTGGAGTGGCCACAACTCCAGTGGGAGTAGGACATAACTGGGGAGAGCTGTGCTCCCAGAAGTGACTCCTGTGTCAATAAGAGAGGGGTTGGTGCCCACGTGTCTGGGGATTAGCTGTAAAGGTGTGTTTAGGAACCAACAGATATTTATAAGTGTTTTCTAAGTGTCTAACCTAGTGGTTGAACTGCTGTATTGCTGACATAGACTCTGAATGTATAGTTCATGGATTGTCCATTAATTATATGTCCTTAATTGTATGAATCTGTGTCTGGATGGGCTGTTTGGGTCCAATCCGGCTAGCTATGGACCCCAGCCCACACGATCTTACATGGACAAGGGCAAAAGACCAGAAGCACTCTTCTCCACATGGGGACAAATGTCATCAGTTTATTCCCAGGAGAACCATCAGATGATTCCACTACCCACATGGAAAAAAGAGGCCGGGCTAGCTGCCTCTAGGGGGTTTTAAGGGCTGGGAAAGGGGGCTGGAGGAGAGGGACTACAGCCAATGGGATACAAATGAGGGGGGATGAGGGGAGGGGGTGGGAGGGGTAAACCAGGGGGACACTTAGAGGGGGGGGAATAGGAAAAGACCGTGTGGTGGTAGAATACAGAACATATGAACAGTGCAAATTACCAAACAACTAAATAACTATTTAGTGCAATACAACACTTAATAAGTCAATAAACCATTTCATTTGGTTTAGTTTATGTGAGCTGAACAACTTTTCCCTGCCACAATGACCAGCTGATGCAGTCTTTTGACCAGTCCTGGTGGGAGAAGGTCTAAATGCTCAGTGATAGAAAAAAAGATTCACTTTGTGTTGAACTGGTGACTATGTGCAGGACAAAGGAAGGGTTTTGGGGTGGACTGGATGGCAGGTGAAGACAGAAAAGGGGGATGCAATAGAGACTACATGATGTGTGCCTGCTGTTTGACAACTAGAATAGATACTTCTAGTGGACAGTATGGGGTTCTGGTGATTGCTACAGTGAAACCTGCCAGATATCAACACTGTTCTGATAGAGACAAAGGCAACTTGGGAAGGCAGCAGAAGTCACGTCATATTGCCAGAATTTTGCTTTTGGGTTTATAAGGAAAAAATTACTCTGATCTCACAGAAAATAATACGAAAATACTGTCTTGCATGAAATCTACCCTGTTTTCCTTGGCACATCTGGAAGTGATCACCACACAGGGAAGCAGCATTACCCAGGAACTAGCTATGAAGCTATCAAGAGCACATATTTTGTGATAACAGGCACCTGGAACCTTACTGGAGCAGTAGCCAGCTTCCTGGTATGCAGCCACCAAGCTCAGGCAGCTACATGAGCTCCTGATGCAGCCAGCAGCTGCAAGTTTGAGGCATTGATACAGCTTCAACCCTGCTGGTCCAAAAAAATTGTCCCCATTTGGTTCCTACTGGATATAGAAACATTGTGCGCCCTCTAAACAGGCTGCCAGCACTTTTCAAATCAGGTAGTAAGATCACAGGACCTCATTCTCCACTTGGCCCCCATCATGAGCCCCATATGGGTTTCTGATGAAGGTTGTATTTGGGCACCAGCCTGCTTGTCTGCTCCAGTTAGAGCTCTGCTGTCTCCAGCGCCAGCCAGCCCAGGACATCCAGCAGGAAACCAAGTCAAAGAACGAGAACTAAATAAACTCCAAAACTCTTTTGAGGCCTTCTCTAAAAGAAAAAGAAAAACAAAATTTCTAAAAAGAAAAACAAAATTTCTAAAAAGAAAAACAAAATCAGAGCAGAAAAACATTTCTATTTTTAGCCATCAGGAGCAAGACTTATCTAAGCAGCACCACACAGGAACTGGCAGTGGGAATGGTAAGTTCAGGTTTGACTTGTTCCTAAACATCAGTGGGATGGTACATGATTTACAATGCCTGCCAGAGGCCTCTCTCCTTCTCCTCATAGGAGGTCTTTTCCCTGAAACTATTCACAGATGGATGTGGTAGTTTTAAAGATTGTTCTAGCATTGTCCGTACTAGAGCTTCTTACCAGCTGAAAGTGGATGTCTCTGCAAACCAGAGAGCCTGCTTCCCACTGTGGCCTTCTTGGTGGACTTTGGTTTGGCTTGGGATGTCTGGTTCCACTGTGACATCCTGAAGTGATCAACACCCTCTCTTGAAGTGACACATGACATGTAAAAACCAAACACATTTTCACGGGAGAATCCCTCTATAGTCCTGAACATCCAGTTATTATGACCAGAGACATCAGCAGCTGTGATGGAAGCTGTCTGCTTTCATTTCACTTGTATGAATTTGGTGGCATGGTAACCATTTTGGAGTCTGAAATTCCTTTTTCTCTTTAAGCCAGTCCTGTGGACTGCAGCACACTATACAGCCTGAGAGGCATTATCATGCAGGCCAAAGGGGGCAGACACATCCAACAGGTGCTTAAAAAGCACTTTTCTCATTATAATTCTCATATAATTTTTTATTATAATTAGTAGGAGTTAAGAACCTGACCTGTGTGAATGATTAAAAAAGCTGGATGATCCTCAGTGTGTATTTTTAGATGCTTGTATACCTTGGAAAATCTGTTTTGCCTTTGTGCTCAGATAGCCAGGATATATTTGACATGGACATTTGTACCAGATCTGTGTCAAAGTGAATCTATCCTGCAACATCATGATGGGACCTGGCCACTTGTGTTGCTTGTGGCCACAGACTGATCAGGCATTTCTCAGAAACTCTCAAT